CTACAGTATAACAATGAAAACACGGATTCTAGGAGCACAATTATAGCTCAAATATATTTAGACTTTTTCTAAGTATAAGTCAAGTATACTTAAATGTCATTTTAAGTATATTTCTGAGAAGTACATAAAGCACATTTCTGAAAAGTACATAAAATGTAGACTGAAAGTATACTTTCTTATTTTTAGTTTAAAAGAAGTATACTAATAGTACACTTGAATAAACTTCTTTTTCGTAAGGGGTCTTCAGAAGACGAATAAAAATTGGGTTATGGCACCTGTTGTGAAAGGAATAGGGTGCATTAAACAGCGTAGATGGATATTGGCGACACGTTCTTTATCAAGTGGCATTTTTTCCAGGGAATTCTACATCAAACAAACAAAAACAAAAAGTTAGGTTGGTAGTAATGAATCTAATAATGTTTGGACAATTCACTTCAATCTTAGTTTGCTTTTTTTTGGCCATAATTATAAAACTAGAATACGTGATTTATATTGGTCAATCACAACATAAAACGATAAAAAATATTTAATAATGAAGCCTGAATAACTGACCACTCGACCGGAAACCTGTTTGTTTGGTTGCTTTGTATTCGGTCACTTCAGGTTAGCAAATAAAAGCTCAACAAAAATCAATTTTAAGTAGTCATATAATAACCAGGATGTTCAGTAAGTTGAATTAAAGTTCAGTAAAGTCGTTCAGGAGTTAGGGTTGATTTTGCGATATCAATACATTATACATAGGCTTGCAGATTAAACCTAATCTAATTAAACTGCAATTTTAGCTACTTTTAAATTTTGACAAAATGTTTACAGAGATGCTAAATGTGTTTAAATAGTATTGGTGGCTCGGGGTGTTAATTCACAGTAAGAGCAAGGTAATATTTGAAGGACTAGTGATGTATGGCCCGTGTGAGTTATGGCTTGTCACTCCAGTAGTCATATAATAACCAGGATGTTCAGTAAGTTTAATTAAAGTTCAGTAAAGTCGTTCAGGAGTTAGGGTTGATTTTGCGATATCAATACATTATACATAGGCTTGCAGATTAAACCTAATCTAATTAAACTGCAATTTTAGCTACTTTTAAATTTTGACAAAATGTTTACAGCGATGCTAAATGTGTTTAAATAGTATTGGTGGCTCGGGGTGTTAATTCACAGTAAGAGCAAGGTAATATTTGAAGGACTAGTGATGTATGGCCCGTGTGAGTTATGGCTTGTCACTCCAGTCTCCAGGGGCGAGGGGACGGTAGGCTACAAGTCCGCACTCCAAGCTGTTCGTCTGTGCTGTCCGTGGAAACGCAAGCGGCAGGGATTTCGCTCGAGTTTTGCTGGGACGTCAGCGTAAAATGCCTTTAGATATTTTCTTCTAAATGGGTCCGGAAAAGTATGGTTTAGAATTGCCTTTGCGCACTGTGGATGTGTCCGGTCCGTGTACAACTAACGGAGAAGAAAAGGAGCTGTGCGTGCAGAGTCACCCAGAAGATTCGCTTGGGATGCCCGCTGAGTGCGATCCGTGGAGGTAACAGCGAGGCGTCTTGCGTTCACTGCATGTTGTTCATAGGTTAACAGAGTGGAAGACTAGTAAAATGCATTTAATGAATGAAACCGGGTGCGAAACACCCCTTTATTTTGTTCTTAATCAGAGGCAGTTTTGGTATTGAGGTAAATCAAGTTTTCTGGGCAGATGGTGAACTGGCACTGTGTGAAAGCTCTGTTCATCTCTGGTGTCTTTGAATCATAATTGAGTGTCAGGACTGCTGCTTGTTTTTTTTGTTTGTTTTTTTTTAGATTTCATAGAGACCAAACAAGCAATAATAAACAAACCTGTAGCTTTTTGAGCTGTAATATTTGACATCTGTTGAAGGATTTTGATTGAGTTGATAATATTGCAATAATATTGAATTTTTTTTCTGAGTTGGACACTGGATCAACTCAGTTTATTTATTTATTTATTTGAAAAGTACAATTCTCTTCTTTTTTTTTTAAATGCTTTGTCAAGTATAAATATTCTTCATGCGGTAACATAAATTATTTAGTGAATTATTCAGAGCAAACATATTTTATATGACTAAATCAACCAGACTACATTCGGTTTCATTAACGGATGTTATTTTTAATGGACTGACCATGATAGAAAGAGCTAACATTTAAAGGTTACAATTGCACATTTTCACTTTTTAACAGTACATGATGTGCCATAATCAGGAACTTATAATGCAATTGTCATTCTAAAGATAGTTTACATGCTTCTTGGTTTGCTTTAGTTTATCTTCATTATTTCTTGAAGCTGGTATTTCAGCCCTTAACTTCACATGCATGTTTTATGTTGAGAAAAGGTGATATTTAAACCATGGCAGAAGGGTTGTACTGTATTTTTGATGTGACTGTTATGAACGTTCAGTGTTAAGTGCTTCACAGCATGCAAAAGGTCCCTGGAGCAGCTTTGACATTTCTCTCATGCAACTTCATTCACAATGTCAGATCTTTTGCTTCTCTGTCTCTTTCCTCATCTTTTTAAAGACTATTCATAGGATTAACATTTTAAGTCTGGCATTTTTCTGTGGACTAAACATTTCATATTTGAATTTCAGCTTCGGCCTGCATTCTCAGTCACCTTGTGAAGGTCATATAATTGTGTCTTAGATGCCATTTGGTGATTTTGACTCCCTGAGAGATGTCCTATTTGGTACCCTTTGTTAGGCTGAATCTCTTTGCTTTGAGGACGAGTACAACATTTGACCTTGTGAAGGTGCATTCATGTTGTTGTGGCTCATTATCATCACTGTCCCATGTGTTTCTGTTTTGCGGTCATTTAATGAACTGGCTAACATGTAGGTGCGGTGTCTGTAACCCAAATGCTAGTGAACCCTCTTAAGGTGTCCTGGATCAGAGCCAGGAGCAGATGTGCAAAACCAAAAAGCCAAGATAGCAGCTGCTACTCACGACATGTGAAAACCTCACACCTTTTCCGGTACCGGCCGATGTGTTGGTCCCATGAGATCCCATGAATCAGACCGGCTAAAAGATGTCTGGGAAGAATCCATTAATATAGCATCATATGTTATTTATCATGCCAACAGTGAATGTCACTTCCTTTCAGTCCCTCGCTCTTTCTCTATCTCATTTCTTTTTTCAACTATTAAATAAACGCTCCCTGCTGCACTAAGGGTTTAATGTGTCGGCAATTTCGCTCAATATCTATTCATATCAGCTTTCGCGCACTGCCTGTGAATTAGATATGTGCCAGATTAGGATGTACAGGCTTTGGAACAGAATGTTTGTCAAGGTTACTCTGGCAACCTCAGTATAATGTACTTCAGAATCCGTTACCAAAGCAACAACATACAGTACAATTTGGCCTTGGTTATTTGTAATTTGCATGTCTTTTAGCAAGTAAATGCCAAGAAATGTAACTGTTTGAAATGTTCCAAATGACCCTATGTTGGCTTTTTTAAATGCATTGTGTTAAATTATACAATTTTCTTCCACTGTGCATTTAATGAGCTTCATGTACAGTACCATTCAAAAGATTTTTTTTAATGTTTTTGAAAAATGTTTTTGCTCTTATACTCACCATGGCTGCATTTGTTTGATCAAAATGACAGTAAAACAGTAATATTGTGAAATATTATTGTAATTAAAAATAACAGTTTTCTATTTAATATATTTTAAAATGAAAAAAGCGGTATCCGCACTCACTTGTATACTTCTTAATGATTTGTATAATTTTTATTATACAAAAAGCACAAATGGATCAATTTATATATGAAATAACTTTTAAAATTTGAATTAATTCCTGTGATGGCAAAGCTACATTTACAAAATATTCAAAAGTTAATATATTTTAAAATATTTTCAAATGTTCAAACATATCTTATTATTAATGTTGAAAACAGTTGTGCTACTTAACATTTTTCAGGTTTTTTGATGAGCACTAACATTGTTGCTATATATATATATATAGCAACAATGTTAGTGCTGTTACTGTCAGCATTACTGATCCCAAACTTTTTAATTTTATAGTGTATGTACATCCGGCACACAGGTCAAGTTTCAAAAGTAAACCAATTGACTCATCTATGGTTCTTTAAAATATTCATGTGTAGCTGCCCTTAGCTGAGCCCTGTATCAATCAAACTCCACCCAAAGCTGCCTTCAGCTAAAGCCTCTGTTAATATCTATGGTAATTACAGTAGCACAGAGCCCTATTGTACAGCTAGGGTTCATCCTTGGTGAGCATCACCACAAATTAGCTGCTTCGCTCCCTGTCACCTTCTCATAATTTTCCCTTAATTCACATGAAACTCTCTCAACAGATGCTCTGAGTCTCTCAGAGTAGAATAAATCAAGGATTCCTCATTATAACTTTGGAAACTTTGGAAAAGCTTTATAGTTGTGAGGTATTTTTGATGTGTCTACAGATTTGCGAAAACTCTCTCAGGTTAGTGCAACATTTTAACAGCATCAGGGCCTAAAATGAGTAAAACAGACCAGACACTAAGACACATTCAAGCATTGATGCCCTGACAGTAATTCAAAACCGTAAGAAAACAAAAACCTATAAATTTGGTTTGGGAAAGAAATTTATTTCATGGATTAAGTTGCTTTACTCTTCCCCACTGGCTGCAGTAAGGACAAACGACATTCAATCTGATTATTTTCGAATATATCGCTCTACAAGACAAGGATGTCCCTTAAGCCCTCTTTTATTTGCAGTAGCCATTGAACCCTTACTATCGCCCTCCGACCTAACTATGCCATTACTTGCATAGTTAGGAATCATGTTGATTTAAAAGTTTCTTTATATGCAGATGATTTACTTTTTTATGTTTCTAATTTATCTGTTTCCGTCCCTGCTGCCCTGGCCACTCTTCAATCATTTGGTCAAATTTCTGGTTATAAACTGAACTTATCTAAAAGTGTAATGTTTCCCATCAATGCATTAGCAAAGAATTTTCCTCTAAGTAGCTTACCCTTTAAAATAGCTTCATTTAGTTTTACATATCTTGGAATTCATGTTACACATAAATATGCAGATCTGTTTAAAGCAAATTGGACTCCTTTGTTGTTCCGAACTAGGGAGGATTTTGAACGATGGTCACTTTTGAATCTCTTTAGCTCTTTAGCTGCTCGTATTGATGTTTCGAAGATGTTTGTTGTCCCACGATTTTTATATTTGTTTCAATGCATTCCCATCTTTCTCCCCCAGAATTTTTTTGTAGATTTAGACTCCAAGATTCTGGACTTTATCTGGAATAAAAAGATAAATCTGGCATTACCTAACCGAGGTTCTATTATTGGGCCAGCAATATTAGAATTTTAAAATTCCAAAATAAGAATTTAGAGTCTCTTCCCTCTTGGCTTATGATGGAAGCTAATTCTACTAAGCCCAGCTCACTGAATGCTTTTCTCCCATTCTATCTTCTTCCTCACCTTTCGCTAAGAATTTGATAGTTGAGATCACTCTTAAGATTTGGGCAAAATTTAAGTGCTGCTTTGGATTACAGTCGTACTCAATCCATACTCCGATAGCCGCTAACTATGTTTTTTCTCCCTCTCTGTTGGACAGTGCTTTTTTATTTTGGTCTAGTTGTGGCATTAATACATTTCATGATTTATATATTGATGGCACGTTTGCTTTTCAACAGCTTAGGGACACATTTTCACTTCCGAAGCATCATTTTTTCAGATACTTACAAGTTTTGCTCGGGCTGCATTTCCATATTTTCCTCTCCTACCTAATGATACTCTTTTGAATAGTTTTTTTTTTCACTCCAATTTGCACAATAAAATTATATTATAATTATAATTATACACAATATTCTCATTGGCAAGCAGATGTTCTTTATTTTATTAAGTTAGAAAAGGTACGATTCTCACTCAAGAAGTGTTCAAATAAGTTTTGGAAGTTGTGGGGTCCGCTCTTTCAGTATATTAAAGAGAGTAATTCTTCACCCAGTCCTAATTAGGACAGTTGGGCCTGACAGGTAAAGATTAAGACTTGTTTTCTTATGGTTTTATTACAAATGTCATAAACAGCTTGAATAACAGACTTTTTATTCTGACTGTGTTTTGTTTGTTAGTGTTTTTTTCTTTTGTAATTAATTATTGTAATTGACATCTATTCTATCTTCTCACCTTTCGCTAAGAATTTGATAGTTGAGATCACTCTTAAGATTTGGGCAAAATTTAAGTGCTTCTTTGGATTACAGTCGTACTCAATCCATACTCCGATAGCCGCTAACTATGTTTTTTCTCCCTCTCTGTTGGACGGTGCTTTTTTATTTTGGTCTAGTTGTGGCATTAATACATTTCATGATTTATATATTGATGGCACGTTTGCTTTTCAACAGCTTAGGGACACATTTTCACTTCCGAAGCATCATTTTTTCAGATACTTACAAGTTTTGCTCGGGCTGCATTTCCATATTTTCCTCTCCTACCTAATGATACTCTTTTGAATAGTTTTTTTTTTCACTCCAATTTGCACAATAAAATTATATTATAATTATAATTATACACAATATTCTCATTGGCAAGCAGAAGTTCTTTATTTTATTAAGTTAGAAAAGGTACGATTCTCACTCAAGAAGTGTTCAAATAAGTTTTGGAAGTTGTGGGGTCCGCTCTTTCAGTATATTAAAGAGAGTAATTCTTCACCCAGTCCTAATTAGGACAGTTGGGCCTGACAGGTAAAGATTAAGACTTGTTTTCTTATGGTTTTATTACAAATGTCATAAACAGCTTGAATAACAGACTTTTTATTCTGACTGTGTTTTGTTTGTTAGTGTTTTTTTCTTTTGTAATTAATTATTGTAATTGACATCTTTAAGCAATTGTATCTTTGCTTTGTGTCATTGTTTATATTCTTTGTGTGTTTTAAATCAATAAAAAAAAAAATGGGGGAAAAAACAAAACAAAACAAAAACCTAAATCCTGCAGAAAATCTTTTGGCAGGCTGCTAGAAACATCTCCACAGTTTCAATCCATAAACAATTATGCCACTACATTATACACAGAGGCGGACAGTAGTGAAGTATTTTTACTTTACTCAAGTAAATTTAAAAAGTATCTGTAGTTTATCAGTGTTTTTCTTTGGAAAACTTTACTTCACTACATTCCAAAGCATAATGTCATACTTTTTACTGCACTTCATTTCATTAATAAAAGTTGTTGTTTGTTTTACCTTTAATACTTAAGAACATTAAAAATTTAGTACTTTCTTGTACTCAAGTAAATCTTTGAATTACTTTTACTTGAGTAAAAGTAAGAAAGTAATAGATTTCTCATGTAATTAAGTATTAAATTATAGTTAATATGAAACGTAGTGCAGTAAAAAGTACAATATTATGCATTGGAATGTTGTGAAGTAAAGTTTTCTAAAGAAAAACACTGATAAAGTACAGACATCTGAAAAGTACTTTTACAGCAGAGTAAAAATACTTCACTACTGTCACTACTATTATACAGCAACTTATCTACCTTTACACTGTCAGTGTTTTACTAAATAAAAGCCCTGTTGTGCTCACAGCGGGGAAAAATCAATGGCTTGAAAGAATGAGCCCTCAGACACACATTCACATTGGAGTCCATGTATTTAAAGACCATAAAATTTAATTTAGTACAAATGTATTCATTAAAAATAATGAACATAATATTTGAAGTGAAAAAAATATTTATATAAATATTGATGTAAATCAGGACTCAACAGTTTTTATAATCAAAATATATACAGTACTTGTCAAAAGTTTGGAAACATTACGATTTTTTAAATGTTTTTAATTAAGTCTCTTATGCTCACTAAGGCTGCATTTATGTGCTCAAAATACAGTAAAACACTAATATTGTGAAATAGTATTACAATTTAAAATAACTGGTTTCTATTGTAATTGTATTGTACATTTTAAAATGTAATTTATTTCTGTGATGCGAAGCTGAATTTTCAGCATCATTACTCCAGTCTTCAGTGTCACATGATCCTTCAGAAATCAATGTTGAAAACAGTTGTTTGTTTTTAATAGAAATAATTGCTTTTATTCAGCAAATATGCATCAAAAATGACAATAAAAACATTACAAATGATTCTATTTAAAATAAATGCTGTTCTTTTGAACTTTCTGTTCATCACAGAATTCATCAAAAAATGTTACTACAAAACATCAAGCAGCAAAAACTCAGTTTTTAACATCGATAATTATAAGAACCACTATTAATAACTGAGCACCAATAATAATTGAGCAGCAAATCAGCATATTAGAATAATTTCTGAAGCATGTGACACTGAAGACTGGAGTAATAATGCTGAAAATTCAGCTTTGCCATCACAGGAATAGATGACATTTATTTCAAATTGTAGTAATATTTCACAATATTATTGTTTTACTGCATTTTTGATCAAACAGATGCAGCCTTGGTGAGCATAAGTGACTTACTGTATAAATAATATAAAATAATAATAATAATAATATAACGAAATTCTGTGTGTTTGTGTGTGCATGTGTGTATATAGTTCTAAAATCATGAAACTTTCTATTTATTTATGAGTTTCAAGTATTTGTTAAATCCCTATTGAATCTGGAGAAATCGCTCAAGCCCTTTCACTAGAGTCTTGACCGTAGTGACAGAAAGAGAAATTTAAATCTGAAAGCTGCTCCAGTGAACATCTCTTTTCTTTGGCCCAAGTAGCATTCTGGACACATGAGCTGTATATGTATTTGTGGTGAGTGAATGAGGTACATTTATTCCAACCCTGACAGTCTCTTGCGGTCCCATATGACCAACAGAAGCAAGATGGGTGGGTGTGTATGTCGTATGTCCTGTTATGGATTTGCAATCTGTGTGTGTATATGTGGGCGTTTATGCACGTATTTGAATGGTATCCTTACAAAATATACTTGATTGAACACAATAACAGTTGTAAAGTTATGCATCTTTCACACAGCGGTGTATTGTACACTGAAGACCTGTTTGCTTGTGCTCCATCCTTCTTTCTAGGTCTAGTCACTTTCTTTCAGCAACAGACATGAGATCATTACTCACTTTTGGAGTCTTCGGTGAGGCTGCAGGCACAGTGGTTACGTGTTTATCGATTCATTTCAGTTGTTTGTTGTTCCTTTGAAGGGTGAAGATGCCTTTTCACCATGTGAGAGCAGGGCTGCTCTACACAGACAACTACCTGAGCATCTCTCTGCCTGAAACCAGTGAAGAACAGCTCGCCAACATCTCCACAGAAGAGCTTGGCGGTGAGTGAGAATGTGTGTGTTTTGTTTGGATGGCTGCCATTTGTCTCAGTGTAAATGTATGTCATTTTAAAGAATATATGCTTATATTTGAAGTATTGCCCCAGAAATGAAAATGCAGATTAATTCAATTTTATTTTAATTTAATATAATTCCAAACCTGCTGTTATTTGTTTTTAAACATATAAACATTTTTTTGAAGATTCTTCATAGAAATCTTTCCATATAATGTTCATATTGACCACGTTTGTCAAGTTTCCTTAAATAAACAAAAACCTATAAACCTCTGTGTAAAAACGTAATTCTCTCTCAAATCCCATTTTCCATTCTGCATATTTAAGCAAGAATTTTGGTTATGACACATCCAAGAACCAAATGTGGTTTTGGAAACAGTTATGTCATATCATCTGGCACAAGGCATTATGCATGTTTTGAATCTGAATGTCAATGTAAATGATCATACATTTGTTCTATGAACTATGCTATGAACTGCTGTTTTTATGGAAAAGGATTTAACATTTCTTCATCTGTATTGCACAGAAAAATAACCGCAATTTGGTTTGTAACAACAAGAAGTTGACTACATAATGAAATTTTTCTTTTTTCTTTTTTTGGTAAACTTCTTCCTCCTCACTGTTTTTAACATGGTCATTCAGTAGAACTTAATAACAGCAACCAAAAGAACCCCAGGGTTTATTCTCTTATGCCGTCAGTGTGATAAACATTATAAACCCATTAGATACTGCCCCACTACAGTCCACTGCAACTGGAAATCTCACTTTCCTCATCTGGAATGTCTTGCCGGTCATGTGTAAAGGCAGTGCCTTAGGGCACACAAGAAGAAAATCGATGGTCTGACTGGTGGATTAGAGGGTGTTGTGAATACAGTGGTTGATTTGAAGAGATGTTTGAACTGTGAAACTCTCAGATGGAATTAAAGTTTTGCAGCACCTCCTTTGAAAATGATTGTTTTGACAGACCAGGAACTGAGGGCTGGCCACAGTGGGAAGATCAATGATTGCATATTCATGAAATGAGGGATAGAAGGTGAGAGTAGCAGTTCAGATGAGGTCTGTCTTTGCAGAAAGAAAAACACTTGAGGGAGATAAAGAGGACCATGTTAAATAATGAGCCATTGTCTGAATCACTTATCAATTTAATTAACTCATATTGAATGAAATCTAGTTGCCTTGTAATGAGCCTTTGGACATTTGTCTAAATCTGGTAAAAAGTCACATTTAAGGCATAAAAAGAAGCTAAAATGTCATTTAGTCAAGACAAAGAGGCTTCTAGGAAACGGGGCATGTAGAGAGGGTTAGGTTTTGCTAATGGCAGAAGAATTAATCCACATGTTCTAATGAGACTGACTTTTTGTTCTTTTATGCTTGGGGACCCAGAGCCAATACCAATACCAATACCAATTTTAAAAAATTAATTAACCTATTACTAACTCCTTTCCTTGAATCCCCTTTTTTATTATGTACTTTCAGATGTGTCATTGTTATTTAGGGTGTGTTCACACTTGGCAGGTTTGGTTCAATTAAAATGAACTCTGGTGCGATTGCTCTTGTAGTGCAGTTCATTTGAATAAGTGTGAACACTGCCAACTGAACCTTGGTGTGCACCAAACAAGTGCACCAAGACCCACTTTGTCAGCTCTGGTGTGATTCAACTGAAATATGAATGCTGTGCATTGTATGTGCAACTTTTACACATTTTATAACATCATGAGTTCTCATCCAGTAAAAATACCACCATATGCACATACAATAAGCGCATTTAGCCCAGCACACAGCATTGCTTTGGATGTTAGGTAAGTTCCATTGCAAAACATATGTCATAAAAGTGGTCAAATTAGGTTTTGGCCTTATCCTTATGCAATTTCATTTTTTGGTCTGCACCAAATAAACCAGGGGAACTGAACTACAGGTGTGAACACACCCTTATTATAGTGTAATTTTATTTATTTCAATTTGACCCCAGCAAAAAAAAAAA